TGCCTTTGTGGGTCACGTATAACTAAAGCTAAGGAGGGCGAAACGTGATAGGAATATGGGGGTAAAGAGAGCCCAACGGGAGGACAGAGAAGGTGGGAAGAAGCCGAGCTTTAAGGCGTAGCTCTCCTTACAGTATAGGGAGACATGCTCCAAGAGGTGGTGGCTTGTGAAGTTTGCAGAGCTAGGAGCTGAAACAAGCGTCTAAGGCTGGTGGCTCCCAGCTCAGAAGTCTTTTATGAGAGCTGTTGCCTCTAAGAAGTTAGCACTAGAGTCGCACAGGTGCAGCGTTGCCCCTTGCTGTTCTGCCCTCTGCCGTAGACCTGCCCCGCCCCAGAGCGTGTCTGCACTGTTAGACTTGGAAATGAGTCTCCCAGGTGCCCTCAGCAGATAACTGTCTGCTTGGACCTCTGCTAAGCCTCCCTGGGACTCCATGGGCTGCGTCATCATTATCTAAACCATATCCTTAGTATCAAATGCCTTTCCGTTCAAATCCATTTGTCCCCAGACAAATTTCAGAGCACATATCCTCAATATGTGCATATTTATTACTGAATTAATTCATGCACTAATATGTATTGTAGATGTACTGATATGTATATTATATATATAATATATAATCTATTTTGTGTAGCATAGGAAAATTGAAATGAAAAGACATTGGGTAAAGATAAATGTAAGCAGACGTTCTAATATGTTCTTTTTGAGCATCGGTAGATCATTTTGTCCCCAACCCTTTGCCAGAGGAGCCATGTTTAGTCTTAGAAGAACAAATTGCAAACACTGTCACAATAATTGTTAGAGCCCTTTGTCTTTATTCCTGTTGCTTCTAATCTTGTTCAGATTTAAACCTCCATTCATCTCCACACTTTTTTTCTCGTCACACACTTTTTGTTTGTTTGTACAACCTGTATTAGAGTTCTTAGGAGAAGCAGTATATGTATATTCTGAGACAGACAGAGGAGAGTTAAGATTTATTTTGAGGAACTGGCAAATCTGAAGTATGCAGGGCATGCCAGAGGCTGGAAATGCAGGTAGGATTTTTTCACTCCAGAGGTAGAATGCCTTCTCCTTCAACTGATTGGATGAGGCCCACCCACATAATGGAGGGTAATCTGCTTTGCTCAGTCGACTGATTTAAATGTTACCACAGCTAAAAAATACCTTCAAAACAACATCTAGACTGATGTTTGACCAAACAACTGGGCACCATAGCCTAGCCATGTTGACACACAAAGTTAATCATCACGTATCATAATCTTCTGTTGGAACTTTCCTGGTAGCCACCTAGCTTACCTTCCCACCTCCCACGCCAAATACTTCCATCCATCCCCGTTCTGTCGGAAGAACCTTTGAAGGGGGATTTTGATTGCTTCTAAGCAGCATAGGTAAATATAATATTCACTGCAATAATATATTGCTTTAGTGTTTCCCAAAGCACAGTTATGATAAGATTTAAACCTCTTTGCCATCCGAACCCCTCTAACTTTCCAGCCCCATCTCTCCTGTCACTGCTGGTCTTATGTGCCCTCTAGTTACCCCCAAAGTACTCAGTTCTTCACAGGCACTGATGATTTTCCTGTCTCTATGGCTTTGCTCTATGAAACAGAACCAACACTAATATAAGGCAAAATATAAGATGATGGGAATAAAGAAGGGGCTGAGGGAGACGGGAAGGTGATGTGAATAATTCAGGCTTCTCAGACCTGAAAAAACTTCATTAAGCTGGGGAGAAAGGAAAGGGGGAGATAGACGGTGTTAGGCGCTGAATTTTTCCCCCCTGCCCCTCCCCCCCACACCAACCCATTCATATGTTGAAGTCTTAGCTCCTAATACAGCAGAATGTGACTGTGTTTGGGGACAGGATCTTTACAGAGGTTATTAGGTGAAAATGAGGTCACTAGTGGGGGCCCTTGTCCAGTATGACTGGTGTCCTTATAAGAAGAGGAAATTTGGACACAGACACGCACAGAGGAAAGACCATGTGAGGTCAAGGGAGATGGTGGACGTCCGCAAGCCAAGGAGAGAGGCTTCGGGAGAAACCATCCCTGCCCACACCTTGATCTCGGACTTCATGCCTCCAGAACTTTCAGAAAATAAACTTCTGTGGTTTAAGCCACCTAGTCTGTGGCACTTCGTTATGGCAGCAAACTAATATGGCTGGAGTGAGGCAGGGCTCTGGGAACACAGAGTGAGCTAAAGCCTGAGAGGCAGCAAAAATGTAGAGTGTGCGATGGGTGTGGACTGCTCATCTACGTGACTGCTACCGGTTACAGCTGGTTTCCAGAATGTGTTGGAAATTTGCCTGGTCCTTGAATTAACCATCCTCTAGTGGCTTGGAAAGGGGATTTCTGATGATGTTTTGTTTGGTCTTAATGAGAGAAAGCACCTCCAAGAGAGGGGCGTTTCTCAGTAAATACCAGGCTGGAGCTTAGTTTCTGAAGTTTGGGTTCCTTGTGGAGTGTGAGGAGTTCCTTTTGCTCCTTACTGGAGTATCAGCTGATGGTAAGACCCACGTGGTAGAGCAGACAACAGGTGGTAGACATTCTCTTGCTGTTTTCGTTCTGTGTTATTGTACTGGTCACACAAGGGTCATAGCGATCTTCTGTTATCCTTTTTAGCCTGAGTTAGTGGAAGTGCCAGGATGTCCCTTAATTTTTCTTTTCTTTCTTTCTTCTTTTTAAATAGACTGTATATTTTAAGAACAGTTTTAGATTTACAGGAAAATAGTACAGAAAATTCACGCCTGACCTACACCCAGCTTCCCCTGTTATTAACATCTTACATTAGTGTGGTACATTGGTTATAATTAGCAGACCAATCTCAATACACTAAGTACTTTATTCAGTTTCCTTCATTTTCACCTAATGTCCTTTTTCTGTTCCGAGATCTCACCTATGACACCACTTTACATTTAGTTCTTATGTTTCCCTAGACTCCTCTTGGCTGTGACATTGTCTTAGGCTTCCTTTGTTCTTTGATGACCTTGACAGTTTTGCGAAATACCGGTCAGGTATTTTGTAGAATGTCCCTCTCTTGAGATTTGTCTGTTTCCCTCTGGGTTAGACTGGGGTTATGGGTTATTGGGAGGAAGAGCACACAGGAAAAATGTCCTTTTCATCACATCATCTCCAGGGTGCCTATATCAACATGTCTGATGACTGCCGATGTTGGCCTTGGTCACCTGGCCCAGGTGGTGTTGGCCATATTTCTCCACCGTCAGGTATTCCATACTGTACTCGTTTTTTTTTTTTTTTTTTTTTTTGGGAGGGGGGTGCGGCGGGGTGCTGCGAGGCTTGTGGATCTTGGTTCCCCGTCCAGGGATTGAACCCGGGCCCCAGCAGTGAAAGCACCGAGTCCTAACCACTGGACTGCCAGGGAATTCCCCCATACTGTACTCTTTAAAACGAGATTTTTGCCATGTACAGCACACACTTAAGGAGTGGAGACCCTCAATTTTTTAAACACAAAAACGTGAGGTAGTTTTTGAGGAACAGGTGTGAGTGATGATGTTGCTGAATTATGGAGGAGTGGCAAAAAAACAAACAAAAAAACCCCAAACATACTTCTTTTGGTTTGTTTTGTTTCAGAAAAAAAAAAAAAAAAAGCTCCATACTGTCGCTATGAGAAGAAAAATGTTGATTTGAACTTTGCAATTTGTGGAATAAAAATAGATTTCAACCTTGGGCATTTTTGTTGATTTAATTAAGGCAATCAGTTCTTATCTGTACCACTGTACACTTATCTGTACCACTGGGACTCCAAAGCTATTGTTGCAGCCAGAAGAGGAAAGATTAAATTGGTCTGTCTTTCATTACTAACTGAAAGGTTATAGAACATCACTTTCTTAAAGGCAGTGCCTTGACAGTTAACATTGACTGAACAATCCAGGTTCATGTGGGCTTTTCATAGCCTGACCTGTCCTGGGTGACCGTTTCTATTATAGGCAGAGGACCTCATTACTTCCCCCTAGTGGTCAGCTTTATAATCTTGAATTCTAGTTGGACAAATTCAGCGGGAGAAACTTCAAAGTTAATGGCAATCCTCATGATAATTTTCCTTAATATTTTAATATGGTTGCTAAAATGACATGGTGATTGAATTTTAGTATGTCTTCTTGGATTAAAACTAATTTTTAAATGGGTCACTGTTTTCAGGCAGCAAGTAATGGTAACTTGATTAAAAGCTAAAGTGATGAAGATTAGTATTCTAGGCGGAAGGTTTACCTTTGCTACTGTTCTACTGAGAACCTCAGCGGCCATTTGATTTTAACCAGGGAATTGAATCTGGCTTCTTGCAAGCGTTTTATCAGCACTGTAGGAGCAAGTGCACATTCTAGATAAGCCTGAAGACTACAGAGCTTTATGGGGCTAGTAGTGAGAGAATCCTCTGGAGTATTGTTTGTCATTTCTTCACAGGTAAAATTTTATCTCCAGGACAGGAAATGGCTTTCGTTTAGAGTTCTACATCAGCCTTCATTATTTTACCATGCTTTAAAAAGATGCAGCACCTTTTATAGGATGCTATCTACGTATTCTTAGAGAGTGGACAGAACTTACAGAATTGGAGACCGGCTTTGTTATTATCCTTGATGGAAATACTGGGTGACACAGTACTTGAGTATGTAGGTGGTAATCCTTCGAATGAGTTCTGGTGTTGGTGCCCAGACCGGAGTTCTGTTTTATTGAGAGCCAGAGGGGATGGCGTCTAAGGAAAGGCAGCTAAATCAGTGTGAAATCTGCGAGTCTTCTTAGAGGTGCTCCTGATTAGGACAAAAGCAGAACTTGAGTGGCATTCAGCACTGCTTCTGTTCAGAAGTGAGAAGGGAGGAATTCATACAGAGAACCAGTATTAAACCGGTCATCTCTTTGTGTCTGTTTGTGATACTCTCGTTGCGTATGACACCATACAGATATGGTCAAGGAGCAGTTGATAACGTCTTTGTTTTCCTGAGCGGAAGTACATTTAGTAACGAGGTTACCTGTCTTTTGTTGCTCACCCAGCTCCACCTGATACACTGGAACTCCACCTTGTTTGGCAGTATTGATGAGGCTGTGGGGAAGCCCCGTGGAATCGCCATCATTGCCTTGTTTGTTCAGGTAAATGGTCTCCTGCTATGATTGCTATATTGTGCAGAGATGCTTATTTCTAATTCATTTTGCAAAAGATTTTTTGTTCTCTCTCATTTTTACTACTTAGAGGTGACATTAAACACCTTATACAGAGAGCACTGATACTTTAAAAATAGAAAACTTGATCTCTCTGGGTCAAGGATGAGCAGCCATATTCACTGGCAGAAAATGATTCATTGGCTTATTAGAAATTTTCTTCAGAGTGGCATTCAGGGTCTTTGGAGAAAGGAGTTAGAAAATGTCTCCTGAAGGCAGAGTTCATTTTATTATTGAAAAAGAATTTCAGAAAATATTTTTGGACCTCGCCTTCCTGCAAAATCTAAGAGAAGTCAATACTATAATCATGTAGTAGATTCCTTTAGCTATTTGTTATTAATAATTTTCACTCTAAGATGATTTGAAGTGCCTTGTAGAAAACACTGATAAAATGAGAGCGGCAAAGACCTTGGTGGATATAGTCAACGTAAAGTTTAGATTTGAGCTCTTTGGTGGGCAAAAAGAATATTATATAAATTTAGTGAAACGTACAGAAGCAGACCGTATGCTTTCAAAGGTAAAATTCCTAAGGTGAATCTTTTAAACTTTGTCTTGATGTAATTACTTGATGTAATAAAATATTTAAAAGTGAAGGAGACCCTGGAAATTGTAGGATTCCCCCTTCCGCCTCTTATAGAAGAGAAACCAAGGGCCAAAGAGGCCACGTCATTGTTTATAGTCACACAGGGATTTGATGTCACCAGTCAGGACCAGAAACCATTGTCCACTCTGTGTGGTTCCAGGCTGCCTTTGGATAACCTAGTGCCTTTGGATAACCTAGTGGTCCTTAATAACTTAATTTTCCAAAGAGAGCTGAGGAAGGGGCCTTTTGAAACCTCTTTTTTTCGGGGTGGCATATATTTCAAGAGTATTAATTCCAACAATTTCCTGTTATAAATACCTCTAAGATATTTCTTTATTGATGTTTGAAAGTAGCCTTCCAGTTTTATTTAGCCTTTTAGTATTTTGAAATCCATGTTTTTAAAGTATAACACATGTCATGGAATTTAAAACAAATCCTTACATTTTAAAATAAATCTTCTCACAATTCATTTCATGCCTTTTTCACAGGCAGGGCCCTATATTCCTCCTGTTTTATATCTGCATTGTATAAGGAGAATGGAATCACAAAATGTTGATGAAAAATGTTTTAAATTATACTACAAATATATTTTGATAATCTTTAGTATATTGAAAATAATAACTGTTAAAGTCCATCTTTTGTAACCTGAGAAAGTTAACAGAGCATCCAGATTTGACAGCATAAGGCAGTAGAAGTAGAAGGCAATGTCTCATTATTAAAAAAATAAGAATAAAATAAAAATAAGAACACAAATAATCAAATAGTCATCTGTAGGAGGGGAGGGAACATGTTAGTTTCATCTTTGGAGGCGGTACTCAATACATACTTGTGAATGGAATTCAGTATGATAACTTGATGTTTTCACTTACTGCTTCTCAGTGTAGAACAGCTGACATGCAGTAATAGTGCACTAGATTGGAAGCCGAGGCTCTTGGAACCAAACATCGCCGTTCCCTGGAAACAGCTCATTACTGGAGGCAGGCAAAGCTTGGGAGCTTGTACTCTGGCTCTGACTTTCCATAGGAGGGAAAATCTGGGTTATCTACGTGGAAATGCCTTTCTCGGGAGAGAACAGAGTTGCAGAAACTATAGAGCAAACATTCACGAAGGAAAGAAGGGCTGATCGGGAGTGTCAGCCGAGGCAGAGAGGAAAGGACCGCATGCGGGGGTCTTGCACTTAGGTCAGGGGCTGGGAGAAGCGGAGGGGAGGAAGTCCAGGCAGTGAGGATAGACTTCCCTTTCAGGAAGCTTGACTCAAAGACAGATGGGGTGATAACTAGTGGTGATGTGCACAGCAAGGTTCAGATTGTTTCATATTGAGATCCGAGATGGGCCTGTGTTTTTATTCTGAGCAAAAAGGGCTAGTGCAGATGTTGTTTAAACATACCAGCAAGAAAGGGGATAATTGATGTAGAAAAGCCTCAGAGGAGGTGGAAAGGTGTGGGATGAGAGCTTAGGTTGATGGACTGACCCTGGGCAGGACGGCCCCACCCTGTCTCCGAAATAGAGGGCCAGGAGGAAAGGGTGGGCACAAATGGCACACATCTTTAGGTGAAGAAAGCCAGGAATTTAGGGGAGTTTACGCCTGATGACCTGTACTATCTCTGAGACATGCAAAGCAAAATTATTTATAGAGCAAGGAAAATATGGGTGTGGGATTGGGTTTTGAGATAGCGCAGGAGGGGAATGACAATAGACTTGGTGGTCCTTGTGGGAGACCCACTTGAGATTGGACATCACAGATGGTACAGGACAACGGATCGTGGGCTGTTCTCCATCCAGGGAGAGGAGCAGAGAATTCTAGCGATTTTCTTTTTTTCTGGCCGTGCCCTGCGGCATGTGGGATCTTAGTTCCCCGAGCAGGGATCGAACCCATGCCCCCTGCAATGGAAGCAGGGAGTCTTAACCACTGGACTGCCAGGAAAGTCCCTCTAACAAATTAATTGTTGTATTGATCCGTTACAGAGCGTAAGGTTTAGGAGGACAAAGGGGTTAGAGAATGGAGAATGGTTGAAGAGGTGTCATTCAGCACAGGCAGGAAGGGAAAGGGATGAAGCCAGGAGGGACCTGAGGGGTGTGACGCCTTGTGATCGGTGAATAGGAAGAGAGAGAAAAGAAGAGAGAGCTGGCCAGATGGGCACTTATGGTCAGAGGCAATGGTCTTTGTTTGGAGTTGCAGTTTTCAGAGTGAAGACAAATGCAGGGTGTGTTCTCAGGATTGGTTTGCTGAGGTGGGAGGGAGCTGATGGACATGGACTGAGGGGTAAAGAGACAGGCCAGGGAGGGCACAGGTCGCGCACAGCGTTGCTGAAGTCCTCCGGAGTGACGGCAGGAGGGGATGAGCACTGCGAACGACCCGGTGGGTCAGTAAGTGACAAGTAGAGCAGGATCGCATCGGGGGAGGGCAGTCCGCTCAGAGGAGGAGGGTGGCTTTGGGCTTGTGGGATAGAAGACCCATCTGAAAGTGACAGCTGGGAGCTGGCCACAGCTCTCACTCCTGTCTTGAGGGAGACTGCGCAGTGTCCACTCCAAAGGCCTGGGAGGGTTGGTGGCCTTGAGCAGACCCCAGGGGTTCACAGAGACCCCCTGGGGGAGATGGCAGGAGAGCTTGTCAAAGCTGTGGAGTCATCCAGTTTCAGAGGCTGCGGTAGAAAATGAGGGGGGATTAGCGTTAGAAGTGGAAAAGCACAGGGCCGTGCAGGGCTGAGGTTGTCCGAGAGGAAACTCACCAGAGGGCTGGTATTTGGGGCGGTGGTGAAAGATGGCCGAGGGGAGGGTCAGGAGTTACTGGGTTCCTGGCAGACTCTTGGTCCCATGTTGCGTTGTCACCTGGCCTGCTGTAGGATTTTAGGGGCTGAGGTGTGCAGGGGATCCATCTATATTTTCTTTTTGGTGGCTGTAACCCCTTCAGACAAAACTTTGACAAAGAAGGAAAGAGATCGAGCAATAGCCGAAGTTGGTTGCCAAATACAAAGTTTTGCCCATAAGGTAAAGAACGTTTATAGACAGAAGGAGCCAGTAAGAGTTATTAAGTGCTACTTTATGTAAGAACGGTATTCGATGCTGTGTAGCATATTCTGATTAAGAGTAGTCTGGGTGATAGCCACTGAATTACAATGCACCGTGCCCTGTTCTAAGATTTGTTTTTTTAAAATATTGATTGATTGATTGATTGATTTGACTACGTTGGGTCTTAGTTGTGGCGTGTGGGAATTTTAGTTGTGGCATATGGACTCTTGGTTGTGGCACGTGGGATCTAGTTCCCTGACCAGGGATTGAACCCGGGCCCGGCCCCCTGCATTGGGAGCGCAGAGTCTTAGCCACTGGACCACCAGGGAAGTCCCTGTTCTAGGGTTTTTGTTTGATTGAGTCTTGTCTTCAACCCCATCACTTTTGTCTGCCCTACTGTATAGAGGAGGAAGCTGCAGGACACAGAGGTTAGGTAGACTAGCTCAAGCCTAAAAAGAGAGTCAGGGTCAGAACCCAGCGTCCAACGCAAGTGACCTTTGCTCCTGGACCACTACACTGTGTGGCCTTACAACGTTCAGATGTGGACTCTTCAAGGAGTTAAGCTCTGACCAGAGATGCATGAAGTAAAGACAGAGCCGACCTGTGGGTGTATTCACCCAAATGCTACATTGTGGTTAAACCAGTACAACAGAGGGGTCTTTTTCCCCTGAAGATGGGGTGAAGGTGTCTGCCTACAGGTCCAGGCTTTTGCACCCAGGAGTAAATTTCCCTAAGGTATACATATGTGTGTGTGTGTGTGTGTGTGTGTGTGTGTGTGTGTGTGTGTATACACATATGCATATAAAATATATATATACATTTTTTTTAACTTAAGAGAATTCATTTTCTGTTTTTAGTGCCTATCTCAGGAATTGCAAACACTTGGAAAATGATGTCTCAATTATTTTGAACTGATTGGCCTATCTTAGGTTATGTAAGTTTCTCGTCTCACCTCTTTCCTCTGATGCCCTTTTACCTAGCCTGTTTCCCAGTTGGATCACGTGGACAGAAACAGGGAATATAAACATGGTGACAGCTCTTCTAGCTCCTTGTAGGTCATTCTCCAAAATTTTTTTTTTTAACATCTTTATTGGAGTGTAATTGCTTTACTATGGTGTGTTAGTTTCTGCTTTATAACATAGTGAATCAGCTATACATATACATATGTTCCCATATCTCTTCCCTCTTGCGTCTCCCTCCCTCCACCCTCCCTATCCTACCCCTCTAGGTGGTCACAAAGCACCGAGCTGATCTCCCTGTGCCATGCGGCTGCTTCCCAGTAGCTATCTATTTTACGTTTGGTAGTGTATATATGTCCAAAATTTATGTGGAAGAGAAAAAGCCAACTGTAACAAGGATTGTTTGTCTGAGGTTATAAATTGTCTCTGCTGTGACTGCCCTCCATTATCATAGACTGTTGAAACTTGGCTGAAAAATGGAAATCAGATTGCACTTATAATTTTTAAAGTTGGAGTCAAGAATATTTAACATATTCTTTATAAAGTCTCAAATTCTTTGGAACATTTTATACACTGAAAAAATGTAACGATACATAATGCTTTAAAAGAGAAAGCTACTGGGAATTCCATGGTGGTCCAATGGTTAGGACTCAGAGTTTTCACTGACATGGCCTGAGTTCAGTCCCTGGTCAGGGAACTAAGACTGCGCAAGCCACTCAGCGGGGCCCGGAAAAAAAAAACATAGAAAGCTATGAACAGCATATTCTTATTTATTTAAGAATAAAAAGGGGATTATAGAACTACGTCCTGTGGTAATCAAGAAATGTTGTCCTGGTTTCGGTGACAGGACAATGAGTACGTGTGAAACCATGTACTCATTTTTCTGAGTTAATAAAATTTTTTCAACACGGATAAAATCTTTATAGTAATGGCCTAGAGATGCCCAGGGTGAAAATGGAAGGCTTTGGGCATGTGATGAATAATTTTAATTCAGAAATACCCTTGAAATTTCTGTATTGCAGTATTATTACTTTATATATATATAGCACAGTGGGTAAACCTGTACTTAGCAAGGTGAATTTAGAATGGATTCTTGGAAATGTCTAGGAACATATCTAATGCTTTCTTGTACTGGCTTCTGTTACTGTTACACCTTTAATTGCCTTCAGTAGATGTTGACCTGGCCATTATTAAAAAGGCCATTTGTTCCCCAGGAAGGACATTCAGGTGAACTTGAACTTCACTTCTGTTGGTTATTTTAAGTAGAAGCTACATATTTAAAAGCTTTATGGTTATGGTTTATGCTTTACCCTTCACAGATCGGAAAAGAGCACGTAGGCCTGAAGGCTGTAACTGAAATCCTCCAGGATATTCAATATAAGGTAAGTCATTCTTTAAAAGAGAATAAAACTACTGGCTGTGTCGGAGGCTTCCAAGCCCACCTTCAGGCTGGGAGATTCCCTAAAAGGACTCACAGCCAAGTGCTTAGCCTCCTGGTTGTGGTTTCTTCCAGCGGAAGGCTACAGTCCCAGAGAAGCGAGCCACAAGCTTCCAGACAGCCCCGCCCCGTGGAGTCGCATAGGGACACACCTGATTCTCCTGGCAGTGATGTCACGACACGTGTGAAGCATTGCCCACCAGGGAAGCTTTCCTGGGCCTTGGTGTCCAGGGATTTTATTGGGGGTCAGTCGTGCCAGCCAGCAATGCCTGAGGGACTGACCTCAGCTACTCTGACTCTAGCCTTCCCCCACCCTGAGCAAAACCGGGCTTTCACCATAAATCCCAGTGTTGGGATATACTTATCTGGTCCAACTGGTACAGCCTGACCCAAGGCCTCAGGCAGCATATTCCAAGGGCTCAGAGATTATCTCCCAGGAGCCAGCCAGGGGCCAGTCTTGAAGACAGGCCTTTAAAATTTTTTGTGGATTGTGTAGGATTCGAGCAACCCAGGCCAGCTGAGTTACCCCTTTCTGCCTGCTGGTTATAGGAGGGTAGTGTAAATGAAACAAATAAAAATTGTGGCGACAATTTAAGTATTTAAGTAAAAAGAAAGAAAGAGACAAGTACATATAAGCCATAAGAGGATATATTCCACGGAAGGCGATGTAGGTTGATTTGAGCCTGTAGCGATTCGGCCTAGCATTGCCGGGAAGCCCAGTTCTCTTATAAACAGTACCTTTTATACTCACGTTGAGTCAGTAGAACCTGAGTGGCCTTGTGGGGGAGAAGTTCAATCCCATGTGGATGCTGGAGGTACCGCACAGGGGTCCGAAGACCCAAGGCCAACCCTAAAATCTGTCTGGAAACAAAGTCTCGCTAGCTCTAGACTCGCTAGCTCAAGCCCAGAGCATCTGGAACCGGGCAAGAACCTCTACAGAAGGTCTCCTGAGCGCAGGCTCAGAGTGAATCCAGCTGCCAAGGGAAAGCACAGACTGGTCACAGAAGCTGGTGAAAAGGGGACAAGGACACATTTTCATTGGCATTTGTTGAATAGAAATGGGTTGAGAAATTTTCCTTTATTGCTTCAGCTGATGTGACATCAGTCGTTATGGAATACAGGAGGATGGTGGGAGGTACTGTAAGCTGGATTCTTTAATGTGTCCAGCAGTCCCCAGGAGTAAGGAAGAGACCGAGAGGTCATGCACTAACCTTCCCTGTTATGTCTGCATTAGTGGAGTAATCTTATAAGAGACATCCAGCTGGCATGACAGGTCTGTCTGTCTCAGGACCGACATTTTACATGGGACTATTTAAAATAGTGATCAGAAATGTGAATTGGTGATGGCACAAATAGTTTATTGAGAGTTAAATCTAGGTTTGATAAACGTGTATTGAAATTTCATGGTTTCGTCTGAGCGTCAGGTCTCCCTCTCTGGAGGCGGAGAGCGTCCAGAATAGGTCCTAGAGCCGAGCTACCACATCCAAAGGGGGCACACCGGGAATTTGGGAGGCAGCCCGTCCTGCCAAGAAGGTTAGGAATTGAGATCGTAGTACCAGGAGGAAAGTCATTTCTAAAGAATTCCCTGAGCCAGGGCCTAAGTCTCTGGTCTGGATGCGCCAGGAGCCGGAAAGGTAGCTGACATGGGGCAGATGGACACTGGACGATTTTAAGTCTCACACCTGGAATTATAGGGAGGATTGAGCTGCCGCAGCAGAGAAAATAGCTGCAGACTCAAGAGTGGGAGTGTCTTGTTGGAATCAACCCCTGTCGCTCCAATGAGAAGACAGATTGACACAAATCTGTGGGGTCTGATAATGCCGTTCAGAAAAGACTTCAACCTGGAATCTTAGTGCTCATAAATGTTCTTATTCTAAAATTTAGAAATTTTATGTTAACATGGGGCACATTGTTTTCTGTTTCAGGGGAAGTCCAAAACAATACCCTGCTTTAATCCTAACACTTTATTACCAGGTAAGCATTCATCTGCATAAGATGAATTTTAACTGTGGATATGACTGCACTGTTTTCCTCAACACATACACAACTATATCTTATTAGTTAATAAAGTTTCTTTACAATTTATATTCTCTGTAGTTGGTACCAGTTTCAGATTGCTCTAAACCTGGGAGTAAACCTTTTGAAATAATAAACAAACACTTTACCACTAGTTCCATTAATCCATGAAGAGGTTTTTTTTTGATTTTCATTCCTACAAATTGCCACCTCTGTGTAAAGCACGACTGTAATAACATAACCTTGATATACATGTAAGATTGGTCAGTGCAGCTCTTATTAATCTCTGGTGTGAAATAAACTTTATATCTAATTTTAAAAGATAACCTCTTTGCAGTGATATTATTATTTAGCTATTATTTCTAAATGTTTAGGTATGCCTGAACAGGTAAGAATTGTATATAAAATACTCAAAATATAATTTGTAGATAAAGGTTGTTTTGTACAAAATTTTGGTCTTCACATTTCTCTGCCTAAATTTTGTGAAATTTTTTGGTGTTCCAAACAAAACCAAAGGCATTGTATCTTCTACTTTCTACATTTAATTGCACTGCTACAAACCAGTTTTTTCCATATGTTGAATACTCACCCATCATATTTAATCACAAATTCTTCTAATGCAGGGCTACAAGATTTTATAAGAATGATTTTTTTTATTCTATCATAATACGATTTCAATATTTTGCTACTGAAGAAGCAATATAGAGGTAGCTAGAACAGCATGGTTAAATGCACAGACTGTTTTCTTGTCTCTCATTTTTATTAAAAAAAATCAGATATATGATTTAACATTCTTAAAAGAATCAAAAGCTCTAAATAATCACACCTGGGAACAACTTAAGTAATCTCTCCCTTTAAATCCCAATAGTTACAAATTACTGACCTTCTTTTTTTTGTCTTTTACAAAAATTGATTTTAACTGAATTTTTTAAAAAGATAATTTAAACACACAGACTTTGAAGCCAGACCGCTTTCGTTCTCATCCTGGCTCTGGCAGTTGTTAGCCCAGTGACCATGGGCATATTACATACCCTCTGTGATTCAGTTTTCCCATCTGAAACGTGCGGGTAATAATGGGACCTATCTCACTGGTTTGTTGTAAGAGTTAAATAAGTTAATGTAAAATGCTTAGAAGAGCACTTCACGTGTAGTAAACATTCAATAGATATTGGGTATAATCAGTCAGGTAAATCATCCAATAAAGGAAAAAAAAAGAAAAAATGGATACACTTCTCCTCAAGTGAGTAAACTTGATATATAATATATATATAGTATATAATATATATATCAAGTATGTATATATATAGTATAGTATATCAAGTTTATATACATCCAGTTTATATAGCCGTAGTTAAATATGTATAGTAACCCATTGAGAGAAACTGCTATAAATAATAGAAAGAGGATTCGTCATGTTTTTTATTCATTGTTTTCTCCATGATGATTAGATTAAAAACACAAATGTGAGGCTGTAGTTTAAAAATGACATCCGTCTGAGAAGTGTTATTTGGACAGTGTGTAATTTTGAAAATTATTGTTGGAATCTTCCAAATTGTTTTTCATTAACTTGCCTTTCCGTGACACGCCCGCGTGATGGCACAGACCCTCTGCTGCGCGATTACTGGGTCTACGAAGGCTCTCTCACTATTCCGCCCTGCAGTGAAGGTGTTACCTGGATATTATTCCGATACCCTCTAACAATATCCCAGCTACAGGTGAGTGCAGTGCTTTTAAATCTTCCAGAATGAAGTTCTGAGTCAAAGGTTAAATGTTGTCTCTACAAAAGGGAAGCGCGTCTGTTTTACGTTTTGGCTCCCTTTGGATCAGTTAGATCAGTCACATCTTTTCAGATAAAAGTTAAATGTCTTGAACCAGTGAAAGCAATGGAGAAAGGTCAAGGATGAAGAAAACCCAGCTCTCATTTATGATCTGTATTTTAAAAGTCAGTTTTTATAGAGTAAATAGAAGTCAGTGAAATAGCCAAACGTTTGATTATTATAGTTATTCCTTCATGTGGGTTTTCCCAGGCATTGGAGAGAAAAAAGGTCTTGTAAGTAAAGTGAGAATGCCAGTTATTTCTGTAAGTCACATGCAGGCTTTGTAATAGCTCTTTCTTGGCTTGCACAGGAAAATCCTGTATGCAGAGGGTGAGGGCACTAAAAAGAATGCCCCGGAAAGTTCTGGATTGTTCTCTAGCCCCATTTTTGTTCACCTACCACCCACCTTGGGTACAGCATAGGTGCTCTAAATGCTAATGCACAGTGTGTGTGGCTCCAGGGTGAGCTGTCAGTAGGATGTTAGCTGGCAGAGCAGGAGGCAACATCACGACAAGGCGTTTAAACAATGGTTTTGATATTATTACGAAAAAAGCTTTAAATGTCTCCTATCCCCCAGAGGTCTGTCTAAGCATGTGTTCTGGAGGCTGTACTTGTTCTTCATGATCAGTCTCAAAAGACTTGGGCAGTCCTCTCAATAAACCAAGTTTCCTTTAGAAACTTTTTGCAAACTTTTATTATATCCCCTATCATTTTATAAGAAGTTCAAGTTTACTCACTACTCAGGAAAGCCTTCTTTTGTTTGTCCTTAAACCTCTAAAATCCTTCTTTCAACCTTTAACAATTTATTTCTCTTTTTTCTAAGGATTAATTTTAAAAGTGCCCCATTCAGCATCTTCATTGTTTCATTATTTTAGAAACTTTGATCACACCACCTTTGGGCCTTCGTATTTTTAATATGGCAAACCCCAGTTCCTTTATTTATTCATTCATCTGTTATTTTGTTACAAGAAACTGTTCCTGACTGCCAACCAGGCACAGAGGATGCAGAGATTCAGACACAGTGTTTACTCTTAAAAAGTTCACTGTGGAGTTGTGGAAGCAGATGATTATTAGACAGCTATGTTGTGTCATAAGTAAGGTGCTCTGGAAACGCAAAGGACAGAAACCCAACCCGGGCTGGGAGGTCCAGGGAATAACTCCTGAAAAATATTAGGAGTTAGTCTAGTAAAGGAGAGGGAAGAAATTAGAAGTTTGAGTCTAATGCTAAGAGTAGAGGTTTGGACTAATGACATATAGATTTGGAATTTAATAGCAAAGGTGGTAACTGCTGTAACAGATATACCTCAAAACTTCAGTGACTTATCACAGTAAGAATTTATTTTTTACACATGTAAAATGTGTTTTTACATTTTACAAATCCAACAAATGTGTTTTTGATTCACAGTGAAGGCTTTTCTTTTTTGCGGTATGTGGGCCTCTCACTGTTGTGCCCTCTCCCGTTGCGGAGCACAGTCTCCGGACGCGCAGGCGCAGCGGCCACGGCTCACGGGCCCAGCTGCTCCGCGGCATGTGGGATCTTCCCGGCCGGGGCACGAACCCGTGTCCCCTGCATTGGCAGGCGGAGTCTCAACCACTGCGCCACCAGGGAAGCCCTATTTTCAGTTTTTT